TCTCCCCCACTTTGCCTATGGGGGTGTGTCAGAACATTATAGCTCATGCATATTGTGTAGGCTATAGTGGGGTAGCCCATAAGGGGTACAACCCAATTAGGGTTAGTACTTGTACCCAATTCATTCATAGTTCATCCATTCCTTGTTTCTTCTCAGATACAGCTCGACGAATCGACCGACCGCAGGAGGGGGAAGCATATGATCGTTTACATATCCTTCATGAAAGAAGCCAAGGTGGCGACCGAGCTGTTCGGGCACCTGACAGTGGAAAAATGCGACGCCGGCTCTCTTCTTACCGTTCTACTCGCTCACCTGGATAGCACGGGGCTGGACCTCCGGAAGATCTCGGGCATCAGTATCGACGGTGCTAATGTGATGCCCGGCTCCCAGAATGGGCTCGTGGTGCAGCTGCGGATGCGGGTGCCGCACCTGGTCGCATGTCACTGCATCGCTCACATGTAGAATTACCATGTTATACCTATGCTGCCAGTTGTTGTCTTGTCTAAACATGACATGAATTATAACTTTCTTTGTTATGTGCAGGGAGGCATTGACCGCCAAGGATGGCGCAGAGAACTACACCGACTTCGACATCGTCGACTCTGCAGTGCGCTCCATCCACACCATCATTGGCGGCCGCATCGTCGTTCACAGGCGGTTCCTCGAGCTGCAGAACGTCCTTCACTCGATATCCCTCGAGACCCAGGGGATCAAAGACGTCCGGTGGTTGTCGCGCGGTGACGCCATCTCCCGTCTCATTGCTGTCTTGCCGGCCGCCATCGTCTTGCTGCACGAGTTTGATCAGAAGATGTAGCAAGTCGTGACGACCTTCAAGTTTCTTTTTTTCTTGTTCTTCCTTGCTGATGTCCTAAAGGAGCTCAACGAGCTCAATAGGAGGTTCCAGAAGCAAGCGGTGGGTCACGAAATGTGTTTCTGTCTTACGTGTTAATGCACCATTATCTAACCGAGACATTCTTTGACTTTACATGCAGGTCGACATCACGAGAGTGGTGGGGATGGTTCAAAACACCGTCGGGAAGCTGAAGGCGCTCTACATCGAGCACGGAGTCAACTTCACCGAGGACAGCGAGCACCTCAGCACCTTTCTAGAGGAGCACACACACCCTTCTAAGCACGTCGTTAAAGTGGAGGGGATGGACGGGGATAGCAACGCCGTGTCACACAAATTCAAGCTTCACGAGGAGCATCTGGACGGTCAAGAGTCTGGAGGTGACCTTGAATCTTGCGTGAGCCTGCGAAGCTGTTTACGTAGGATGTCATTGGCCGACTGCTTTTCAGGTTTCGCAGCCTCGCGACCCTTGATGGGGCTAAGCTATTCCTGCCCGATGCGTACCCAGATGGCGTGGCCAAGCAAGAGCGCGTCTATGCAGCCTGGTTCGCCAGCTTGCGCAAGCTCTTCAGCGCAGACACATGCGATATGCCAGGTAACCACTTGTCGTTTTGGATATTGCAATTGTCGCTGTTTATATAAGGAGAGCAATGTTTGTGTGGACTTTTAATCTAACGAGTTGTATTGTGCATGTCAGGGGTCAACTGGAAGAAGGCAGAGAGGGAGCTGCTGCGCTTTATCCGTGTGATGCATGTGCAGTATAAGGACGTGACCTTCCATGTCGGCTTGAAGAACATGCTGCGGAGTGAGGACTGGGAGTCCTCATACCCGAACCTCGTGCGCCTGTGGGTGGCTGTTGCTGTTCTCCCGCTCAGCACTGTCGAGTGTGAGCGCGGTTTCAGCCGCTAGAACATTGTCAAGTCATGGATTCGCACCCACCTTTGCGACGCTAGACTTGGGGATCTCATGTGCATTTCCTTGCTTGATTATGAGCCCGACTGGGATGACGTCGTGAATCTGTGGCGCGGTGCGAAGAAACGTCGCCCAGCAAAGGAAGTGAGTGGTCTGCCCAAGAGCTGCAAGCGCAAGGCAGTGGCAGAGTCTGTTGCAGAAGCACCCAAGGCAGTGGCAGAAGACGAGCCTGTGGATGAGAAAGAAAGGAAAGGCTAAAGTAGTGGACAGTGACAGAGATGACGACCATGGAGTAGATGTTTGTGGAACTCTGGCGCTTGATATTGACTCTGACACAGAGTAGTTTAGGATGAATGGCACTTCGTGTTGTTTTTAAAACATGTAACGATGCAGCTGCTAAATATAGCATAATATAGACATTAGGCTGTTTTTTCTGGCACGTCTGATTGAACAGACGGAGAATTTGAAAATTTCTGATGTAACAGACACAGATTACAAAAAAAAATCTGATGGGTCAGACGGGCCCGTCTGATGCGTCAGGCAGGTTCAAACACTAGCGAGGTCCATTTCGAGAGGAACGGGATCCCACGGGATCCTATCCTAGGTGATACCATGTCAAGAATGAAAGTGTTGGTTTCACTAAGGTTGGTCGAGGTACATAAACCTAACCCTAATAGTTGTACCCCCTATAACACACATCATTAAGACTACAACATTTGACATTAGTTCCTTGCCCATAGCGCTGCCCCACTAGCCGCGCTACCCTACCCTACCCGTCGCGCCGCCCTGCTGGCCGCGCACTGCCCTGCCCTGCCCATCGCGCCGCCCTGCCAGCCGCGCCACCGCCCTGCCCTGCCCGTCGCGCCACCCTGCTGGCCGCGAGCTGCCCTGCTGGCCGCGAGCTGCCCTGCCCTGCCCGTCGCAACGCCCTGCCAGCCGTGCGCCGCCCTGCCCTGCCCGTCGCGCCGCCCTGCTGGCCGCGCGCTGTCCTGACCTGCCCGTCGCGCCGCCCTGCTGGCCGCACGCTGCCCTCCCCTACCCGTCACGCCGCCCTGCCAGCTGCGCGCTGCCCTGCCCTGCCCGCCGCGCCGCCCTGCTGGCCGCGCGCTGCCCTGTCCTGCACGTCGCGCCTCCCTGCTGGCCGCGCGCCGCCCTGCCCTGCTCGCGCACCGCCCTGCTACCTGTAGCGCCGCCCTGCCCTGCCCGCGCGCCACCTTGCTGGCCGCCGTGCCGCCATGCTAGCCGTGCGCCGCCTTGCCCTACCTGGCGCGCCGCCCTACTGCTCGTTGCCCGCCCTGCCCTGCGCGCTTCGTTCGTGCCCGCGCGCCGCCCTGTTCGTCGCACCGTTCTGCTACCTGCGCGCCGCCCTGCCTTGCCTGAGTGTTGCCCTGCTGGTCGCGCGCCTCCCTGCTTTGCCTGCTATGGCTACTCTCAGTGGACACACAGATGCGTCTTGGGTTGACGACCTGGCTACGCAGCGGTCGTCACAGGGTTACACTTTCAGCCTTGGCTCCGGCTCTGTTTCTTGGTGGTCTACCCAATTGTCTTTTGTTCTCAGTTCCAGTTGTGAGGCTGAGATCTGCGTAGGGGCCATGGCTGCACATGAGTTACACTGGCTAACCTACCTGTTGACCAACCTGGGAGAGCGGCCTCATTCTCCTCCATTTCTGTACGTAGACAACAAGGCCATTATTGCCTTGTGTTAGGAGCACAGACTGGAGCACAGAATGAAGCACATCGCTCTGCGTTACTTCCTTGCTCGAGAGTTGCAGCAGCGTGGTCAGCTTCGTCTTGCTTACGTGACCACTCGGGCCAACACTGCTGATATATTCACCAAGGCACTTCCGCCTGGTGATCATCAGCGGTTCTGTACTGCTTTAGGCCTTGTGCCTACTTTGTCTCACTTGCTCACTGCGTTCCTTTGCTTGTACTGTGATATATGTATATGTGTATATATACCTGCATGCTTACACTTGCTAGGTTATGATCACTGTATAGTTTGTTCTCGTTTATATAACTCCGCTTGTGGACTAGCCTTGTGGCCATTTGCTTGTACTGAAAATGTTTGGTGACTTTGTGATCCACCTTGAGCTTGCTTGGGTTTTCTTGACTGGTCTTGTGACCATTTGTTCTCCCCCACTTTGCCTATAGGGGTGTGTCAAACTGTTATAATGTTTATATTGTGTAGGCTGTAGTGGGGTAGCCCATAAGGGGTGCAACCCAATTAGGGTTAGTACTTGTACTCAGTTTCTTCTCAATGCAATCATTCTCGTTCAGTTTCTTGACACGTAGCAGTGAAATCCGCGCCTAGGCGGCAAAATCTGCGCCGTAGCAGCGAAATCCTCCCCTTAGCAGAGACATCCGTGCCGTAGCAGCAAAATCTGCGCCGTAGCAGCAACATCTGTGCCGTAGTAGCAAAATCCGCGCCGTGGCAGCGAAATCTGTGCCGTACCAGCGAAATCCGCGAGTAGGCATCGAAAACCACGCTGTAGCAGCCACATCCACTCGGTAGCAGCACAAGCCACGCTCAGGCAGCGAAATCTGCGCCGTAGCAGCAAAATCCACGCCGTAGCAACGAAATCCGCGCCATAGCAGCGAAATCCACTCCGAAGCAACGAGATCTGCGCCCAAGCAACGACATTTGCGCGTAGGAGGGTCCACAAGGCGAGATCCGTGCCTAGGTAGCAACACCCGTGGGTAAGAGCGTCCATGCGTGTAGAGGAGTCCCCGTGCACTAGCGACGCTCACCCGGACTGCGGGCCTTTTTTCGAAGGCGGGAGGTGCTCCTCTAGTGCTCCCCGCAAACGGCTTATGCCATGAACGACGACCCAGATCCCCCAGACCAGGGGAGGAAGATCCGGTGTGCGTTTGGCTACAAGAGACCCCAAAGAGTTAGCGCTGAGCGTGCAATACCCACAAATCTGCCGCCTCCACTATGAGGATGCACTCTGCCTTTTTGGCAAGCCCAGTAAGCGACAAAGGTATGGACCCCTCTCGACAGAGGGGGGAATGGAGGAACCACCCAAAGACACTCTCGGCAGCTTCGTAGGCGGCAGCGACACCATCTCTAGCCGGGACCTGGACGCGACAGACGAAGGCGAGTGTGGTCATGGGGTGCACAGGCAAGGTACCGGTGATGATGTGGCGATGGCTGCATGGGAGGCACACCGCCGGCGACTGCAAGAGTCTCATGATAGGCGGCGGCATGCCCTCGGAAATCCCTCGGCACTCCCAGCCCTCACAGCTCCGCGCAGGCCTTGCCTAGCCCAAAGGCAGGAACGAAGGCGGAGAGCTCGGGCGGACGTGCAGCAGGGGAGTCCATCGGGGACCCAATCCTTGTGGCGGGAGGGGGGGCAGCAGAACCGGCCGTCGGGGGAGGCCTGGAAGTCACAAGCATTGGGGCAGCAGGTGCTGTCGGCGGGAGGGCAGCAGGAGCTGCCGGCGGGAGGGGAGCAGGAGCTGCCGGCGAAATGGCAGCAAGGGCTGCAGGCAGGAGGGCAGCGGGTACTGCCGGCAGGAGAGCAGCAGGTACTGCCGGCAGGAGAGCAACAGGAGCGGCCGGCGGGAGAGGTGCAAGAGCTGGTGGTGGGAGGGCAGCGGGAGCTGCAGGCACGAGGGCAGCAGGAGCTGCCGGCGGGGGGGCAGCAGGAGTTGCTGGCAGGAGGGCAGCAGGAGTTGCCGGCAGGAGGGCAGCAGGAGTTGCCGGCAGGGGGGCAGCAGGAGTTGCCGGCAGGAGGGCAGCAAGAGTTGCCGGCAGGAGGGCAGCAGGAGTTGCCGGCAGGAGGGCAGCTGGAGCTGCCGGCGAGGGATCAGCAAGCGGTAGACGTGGAAATGGCCGAGCTACAGCCAGAGGTGCAGTGGGACCAATCGGGGAACCAGGCCCAGCTGCAGGCTGGAGGGCAGTAGGAGCCAACAGGGGGAGAGCAGTAGGAGCTGCCAAGGGAGGGGCAGCCGGAGCTGCCGGGGGAAGGGTAGCTGCCGGAGAGGGAGCAGCAAGCGGTAGACGTGGAAATGGCCGAGCTACAGCCAGAGGTGCGGCGGGACCGATCCGGGTACCAGGCGCAGCTTCACGCAGGAGGGCAGCAGGAGCTGCCACGAGAAGAGTAGCAGGAGCTGCCAACAGGAGGGCAGCTGGAGCAGCCAACAGGAGGGCAGCTGGAGCTGCCGGCAGGAGGGCAGCAAGCGCTGTCGGTGAGAGAGCGGCAGGAGCTGCCGGGGGGGGGAGCGGCGGGAGCTGCCAGCGCAGGGGCAGCAGAAGGTCGCTAATCTGGATGTTGCAAGCCAAGTGAAGAGAACCCGGGCACGGGGCCGAGGCGGGAGACGCCATTCCCGTAAATCGCAAGGGCGGACTGGAAGCGGGGATGCCGCACAGCGGGCGGAGGGGCAGCCGAGGGCGAGTGAGACACTCCTGGGAGCTCAGCAGGCAGGGGGGTAGTCGAGGGTGCCCGGAGCACCTGAGGGAGAGCAGCAGGCAGGGGGGCAGCCGAGGGTGCCCGGACCACCCCGGGGAGAGCAGCAGGTAGGAGGGCAGCCGACGGTGCTGGGAGCACCCTGGGGAGAGCAGCAGGTAGGGGGGCAGCCGAGGGTGCAGGGAGCAGCTTAGAGAGAGCAGCAGCTAGGGGGGCAGCCGGGGGTGACCGGAGCACCCCAGGGAGCGCAGCAGCCAGGGGGGCAGCCGAGGGTGACCCGAGCCCCCCAGGGAGCGCAGCAGCTAGGGGGGCAGCCCGGGGCGACCGGAGCACTCCAGAGGGAGCAGCAGCCAGGGGGGCAGCCGGGGGCGAATGGAGCACCCCAGGGAGCGCACCAGCCAGGGGGGCAGCCGGGGGTGACCGGAGCACCCCAGGGAGCGCACCAGCCAGGGGGGCAGCCGAGGGTGCCCGGAGCACCCCGGCGAGAGTAGCAGGCAGAGGGGCAGCCGGGGGTGACCGGAACACCCCAGGGAGCGCAGCAGCCAGGGGGGCAGTTGATGGACAACCAGGAGCAGCAGTGGGAGGAGTGGAGCCGACTTTTGGAGTTAGATACCCCCATGGCGACTGCGGAGGAGTCAGAGGTAGACGGAGAACCTCCCAGGCCGCCTTCCCCATGCCCCTGTTTTCCGTGTGACACGTGTTTTCACACGTTCGCTACGAGAGGGGCTGCTGCAAACCACATAAGGGTATGCCGGGCGTCTGAGGTGGAGAGGCACGCGCAGGCACTTGGCTCGACCCCTGGTGCAATCGCTGCGAGAGAAGCACCCTGCTAGCACTGGCGAGGTACCACAGTGGGTCCGTGATTTCACCGTCGATGCTCCTCAGCAGCCTCCACTCACGATCGACATCCTGGCCAAAGCTATCTATGTTGACGCTCGCGCTTCAGCAGCAAGGCCATCGGGGTGGGTCACAGAGCATCTGCGCGACACCTTTCTCACTGAACCTTCCTGCCTTTCCCACTTGTTGGAAGTGTTCAACCAATGGGTGGCGAGACAGGTCCCCGAGCGGGCTCGGCCCTGGCTCACCGCATCCAACCTAGTTGGGCTTTCCAAGCCTAACGGCGACGTCCGGCTGGTGGCGATTGGGGAGGTTCGCTCGAGCTCTCTGCATCTCGCTCCGCCCTGCGATGGCTTCCTACTTTCTGCCGTGCAACCATCTGGGAGCAGGCACCAGGACCGGGGTGGAGATTCTTACTCATTCTTTCCGGTCAGCGCTGACCACTCACCCCGGCTGGTGTGCACTGCAGATAGACATCGCGAACGCCTTCAATTCGTTTCACCGTCATGAGATGTTTAAGGGGCTGCGGGAGTCGCCTTTCTTAGGGTTGATCCCATTCTTGCGTGTTTTCTACGGGACACCTAGCGACCTGTACCTCTGAGCGGGCCCTTTCATACAGAGCCTTGAGTCGGCACGAGGATCGCGGAAGGGGGACACGCTCGACCCTTTTCGTTTCGCGTTCGAGGAGCAGCAGGTGATGGAGTCGGTGACTAGAGAGCTCAGGGACCTACTTTTCCTGAGTTATGCAGACGATACCTATATCTTGGGACCAGCGGCTGAAATTCTAAAGGCTTTTGGGGCGCTGCGGGAACAGTTGGAGTGGGTGGGGCTGGAGGTGCAGGCGCACAAGGGCCGGTTTTGGGAGCGCGAAGGTGGGGATGTGGTGCGGGCACTGCCATTGGGGATGCAGCAGGTGGAGGAGGGTCTCACTGTGGTGGGCGTGCCTATTGGGGAGGAGGATTGGGAGGTGGCCCAGTTACGGGAGCAGCTTCGACAGTTGCAGGCACCATTGCTATGGCTCCCCCTGTTCGACCACCCCCAGATGGCTTCACATCTCCTCGCCATTGCAGTTTCAGCACAGCCGATGTACCTGGCCCGGACTATGCTGCCGCGTCCGGAGGTGGTGGAGGCCTTTAGGAATTGGGATAGCTGTTTGGAGGATTGCTTTGAGCAGCTTTTCCCACCTAGCATTTGGGAGCAGGACCCCGACCGCTCTAGGAGCGCACGCATGCAGCTGCATCTCCCTGTGCGACTCGGAGGGTTTGGGATCCGGGCGATGGCCTCTTTGAGTCCGCTGTCCAATGTGTGCGGGTGGGCGCAGGCCGCGCGGGATATTGCACAGTTGGGGGTGGCGGCCGAGGAGGCGATATTTGCAGAATACCTCACCACTTAGGCAGGGGCGGAGTTTCTTGACCCGTGGTTTGCCAAGGCGATTGAGCAGTTGCCTGCGACTATACGCTAGGAGATGCCGGGCTTACCTCTGTGTGTAGCGGCCCCTCCTCTTCGGCTTTTCCAGGCGCGGCAGCGGCAGTTGGCTGTTGAGGAGCTCCAGGCACTGCGCCGCTCGGCTCGTGACGATGCCACCCTGGCCCGTTTCACATCCCTTCAGGGCCCAGGGGCTGGTGCATGGGTTTTGGCGGTCCCAGCTCACTCAGATCTCACATTCACTGCGACTGAGTGGGGTGTTGAGATATGAGAATGAATAGCAAATGAACAAACAAGCAAGATATAAGTCAGCCCCAACCCTAAACCTAGGACAAAGTAAATGCACCTAGACTAGAACAATACAAACTATATCATTATAGTTTGACACACCCCCATAGTCTAGGTGACGGTAGTCCTGCGGAAAGCAACACATATCTCAGGGTGGATCACGAAGTCACCATACAATCTGAGAGCAAGGGTCATAGGACTAGTCAGCAAGAGCAAGGAAAGGTCACAAGACTGGTCTGCAACAACAAGAATCAAGCAAGGGATGCAACTCAGGGTGGATCACAACGTCACCATACAGTCTGAGGGCAAACAAGGGGCCACAAGGCCAATCCATATGCATCAATATAGATGTATATATAGGAAGAGATACAAGGGTACAAGACAAAGCATCTCTACGCAAGCAAGTGAGGGCCTGTAGACACAAGGCCTAGCTGGGTGCAGAAGCGCTGGTGAGCACAAGGCGGCAACGCCTTGGTGAAGATATATGTAGTGTTGGCCTCAAAAACCACACGTACCACCCGGGCCTGGCCACGCTGCTGAAACTCGCGGAGAAGGAAGTAACAAAGCTGGATGTGCTTCGCCTTCCCAACCAGTCGGGGCTCCCTGCACAACAGGACAGCAGACCTGTTGTCGGTGAACAAGACTGGGGGAGAGCGAGGCCGCTCGCCAAGGTCGGTGAGGAGGAAAGACAGCCAGCGAAGCTCCTGGGCGGCCATGGCTGTAGCGTACACCTCTGCCTCACAACTAGAACTAGAGACGGACGACGCCCAAGTTGAGCTCCACGAAACAGCTCCGGTCCCAAGACTGAAGCAGTAACCCTGTGTAGACTGCAGCGACTCTGCGTCGTCTGCCCACGACGAGTCCGAGTAACCTGTAAGTGTAACTGGCTGCTTCCCTCCAAGGACAAGTCCCATGCCTGATGTACTTGCCACATACTTCGCCACCCTCTTAGCAGCGTACTAGTGGGAAGGTCGGTGTCTCCCAGGCGCAACAAAGCGCGCAAGGACGCTAAGAGGGTAAGCTAGGTCTGGGCGAGTACAGGTCATCAAGTACATGAGACAACCCCATCAGCTCAAGATATGGACCGTTGGACGAAAATGGCTCGTCCGAAGGTGGAGCCATGAGCCCATGATCCACAGCAAGAGAGGTGGGCTGTATCTTGGAGAAAGAGAAGCGAAACCGCCTCGACCATATGCGGCTGCGTCAGCGTAATGGTGCGAGCAGGCCAAGGTAGCGCTGCAGCTTTCCAAGGTCAGTGCAAGTGTGTCTCCTCTACAGCTCCTCCTTCACGGAGGCTAGTGCGCGTCGATCGGGAGTGACAAAGACCAGGTCATCAACGTAGACCAGAACAAAGAACGGGGTCGAGCCACGGCGGACGAACAGCGACGGGTCGGCGGAGGACGGAAAGAAGTCAAGTGCTGCAAGAGTCACACGTAGCATGTTGTGCCACTCGAGGGGAGTCTGGCGCAGGCCGTAGACCGGTCGACGAAGCTGCCACTGGGTCCCAGGAGGGAAAGATCCAGTGAAGCCAGGAGGACAACACAGCCAGATCTGCTCGTGCAGGCTCCCCTGAAGGAACGCAGTGGAGAAGTTCAAGGAGTGCAACTCGTAGTCTAATAAAATATAGGAAAGCACCTAGCCTAGGAAATCAAGCAATTCATGCATGCATATAATTATCCTATGCTAGAAATAGCATAATAAAGTAAAGGCAAGCAAGCATAGCTGGCATAAGCCGTCGTACGCTCACACGTCCCCCCCTCAAAGCTGGGTGGCGTGAGAAACACCCTGCTTGACAAGATAGTCCTTGAGAGCACGGCGTGCGTTGCCCATATCAGCTTCTGCAACCCAACTATCCTCAGTGGGGTCGTATCCCTTCCAGCGTATCAGGAACTCGAGGGCCTTGCCGCCACGGCGCCGATGAGAGAGAACGCGCTCGATCTCGTACTCGGGTTCATCCTGTATGAGAACAGGTGGTGGTGGCGGTAGCTGCCATCCCTGGAACTGTTGGTTGGGGTCCTTGTAGAGTTTCAGTAGCTGGACATGGAAAGCGTTGTGAAGCTTCCATGTATCTGGTAAGCGCAAGCGGAATGTTACTGGTGTCACCTGTGCCTCAACGAGAAAAGGACCACAGAAGCGAGGCCGGAGTTTGGATGGGAGGTGAGACAGGTTCAAGTTGCGCGTGTCAAGAAGCACCTGATCTCCGACTGCTACTGAGTGATCACGTCGCTGTCGATCGGCATACTGCTTCTGGGAGGTCTGCATCATGGTGAGTCGTCGCTGAGTCTTCTCCCATAGCTGCTGCATGGTGGTGACGAAGTCATGTGCGGCTTGGACGTGTGCCGGTGTGGTAGGCTGCTGTGGTGTGAGTGGTTCCCGTCCGTAACACAGGAAGAAAGGAGTTTTCCCTGTGGCCGCATGTGAGGCGTTGTTGTAAGCGAACTCTAGGGTCGGTAACTGTGTGTCCCAGTGGCTGACGTCGTCCTTGCAAGCTGTGCGCAGTAACTGTTCAACCACTTGATTGAGTCGCTCTGTCTGTCCGTCAGTCTGGGGGTGGTATGCTGAAGACATTGCAAGCTTTGTCCCCAACAGTCCCATGAGCTCCTTCCAGAACTTACTGGTGAATTTTGGGTCTCTGTCTGAGATGAGTGTAGCGGGGATGCCGTGGATGGTGATGATGCGGTTGAAGAAGAGGCGAGTAGTTGCTTCAGCTGTTGCCGTGGCGTTGGTTGGTATGAAGTGACCCATTTTGGAGAACTTATCGATTACTACGAGGATGGAATCGTGCCCCCGTGAGGTCGAAGGAAGTCCTGTGATAAATTCGAGACTAACGACCTGCCATGGCTGCTCCGGTATGGGTAGAGGCTAAAGTAAACCCGCTTTTTTCTGCTTGCTGCTCTTCATCCGCTGGCACGTGTCGCAAGAGGTGACAAACTGCTGCACGTCTGCTGCCATCCCGGGCCAGTAGTAATACTTTGCTATTCCCGCTAATGTCTTGTTGCTCCCGAAATGTCCCGCGTAAGGTACGTCGTGAAACTCCTCCAATAGGATCTGCCGTAGCGGGGCGTAATTCGGTACCCAAATCTTTCCTGAACCCTTCCTTACCGCTAAGTCTTTCTCCCACTGTA